AGCGCCTCCCAGTATAAACCAGTACGGACCCAGCATTTCCCAGTATAAACCAGTATGGACCCAGCGCCTCCCAGTATGGATCCAGTCCCCTCCCAGTCCCTCCCAGTAGCCCCAAACCCCAAACCAGTACGAACCAGTAACCCCCAGTCCCCTTTTTACCGGCCCCGGTCCCGTGATTGACAGCTGTCAATCACCCCGGGCTCACCTGAGCTGTCGCTGTCCCTCAGCAGCGGCACCTGAGAGCTCTGGCTGCTCCCTGGGGGGGGAGGGGACAGCTCAGGCCTCACCTGGGGCTCACCTGGGCTCACCTGAGCCCCTCCCCCCGCCCCTCCCCCACTCACCGAGGAGCTGAAGGGGCAGTCCGGGGTGGGGGGAGGGGCCGAAGGCGCCCCCCGACGTCGCCGCTTTCCCGGCCAGGTAAACTGGGGGGGGAGGGGAGGGGGACAGGTGAGCCCAGGTGAGCTCTGAGATCCACCTGGACACACCCGGGAGAGCCCAGAACCCCCCAGGTGTGCCCAGGTGTGCTCAGAACCCACCCAGGTGTGCCCAGGTGTGCCCAGGTGTGTCCAGGTGTTCCCCAGGTATCCCCAGATGTGTCCGGCTGTTCCCCAGGTGTGTCCAGGTTCCCCCAGGTGTGCCCAGGTGTGTCCCAGGTGTGTCCCAGGTACCCCCAGGTGTGTCCCAGGTACCTCCAGGTGTTCCCCAGGTGTCTCCAGGTGTCCCCAGGTGTCCCCAGGTGTCCCCAGGTGTCCCCAGGTGTCCCCAGGTGTTCCCCAGGTGTTCCCAGGTGTGTCACACCTGTCCCCAGGTGTGTCCCCAGGTACTCACGCGCCTCGGGGCAGCAGCAGGTGCGGGGGCAGCAGGGGCAGCGCAGGTAACAGCAGCAGGTGTGGGGGCAGCACTGGCACCAGCACAGCCCCGCCCCCAACAGCAACAGCCCCGCCCCCAACAGCAGCAGCACCACGAACAGCCAGTCTGGGGAGAAACAGCCCAAAAACAGCAAAATCACCCCAAAAACAGCCCAAAAACAGCCCAAAAACAGCAAAATCAGCCCAAAAACAGCAAAATCACCCCAAAAACCGCCCAAAAACAGCCCAAAAACAGCCCAAAAACAGCAAAATCACCCGAGAAACAGCCCAAAAACAGCAAAATCACCCCAAAAACAGCCCAAAAACAGCAAAATCACCCCAAAAACAGCCCAAAAACAGCAAAATCACCCCAAAACCAGCCCAAAAACAGCAAAATCAGCCCAAAAACAGCAAAATCACCCCAAAAACAGCAAAAACAGCCCAAAACCAGCAAAAACAGCCCAAAAACAGCAAAATCAGCCCAAAACCAGCAAAATCAGCCCAAAAACAGCAAAATCACCCCCAAAACAGCAAAAACAGCAAAATCACCCCAAAACCAGACAAAATCAGCCCAAAACCAGCTCAAATCAACCCAAAAACACCCAAAAAACAGCCCAAAACAACCCAAAATCAACCCAAAACAACCAAAATAGCCCAAACCACCCAAAACATCCTGAATTTACCCCGAATTACCCCAAAACACCGAGAACAGCCCAAAAAAGATCCCCAAACGGCCCCGAACCCCGCCCAGGTGTCCCCAGGTGTGTCACACCTGTCCCCAGGTGTCCCCAGGTGTGTTTTTACCCCCCCAGGTGTGTCCCACCTGTCCCCAGGTGTATTTTCGGTGTCCCCAGGTGTGTCACACCTGTCCCCAGGTGTCCCCAGGTGTGTTTTTACCCCCCCAGGTGTGTCACACCTGTCCCCAGGTGTATTTTTGGTGTCCCCAGGTGTG